GCAGCTCTCCCTCGTAAAACTTACACTTCACCAAACCCGGCTACAAAAAAAATAAACCCTAATATATAATTTTATTTTTTAAATTGATATATAATTTTACTGTTTGAAAAGTGATATAATTTTTATTTTTTTAAAAGTGATAGCATTTAATTATTTATTTAAAATTATTTTATTTGTAATAGTTATTAATTATAAATGTTAATTTTTATATATGTAATTTTTAAATAATTTATAAATTATATGTGTATGGATCTAATGTAAAAATAAATTAAAGTTGGGGTGCAATTTATAAATATGAAAAGTTATATAAAATAATATAAAAGAGGAATATATAGGTAAAAATTGAAATTTATGGTTGGAGTAAAATTACTGTAGATCAACTGCATTTTTATTATTATTATTATTATTATTATTATTATTATTTTGTAATAAAACCACCTATCAAGCCCAAAACTAGCAAACACCTATTAATGGGTGAATAGTAATTGGGCTCAGGTAAAAAGGTTTTGGGCTTGGAACTAGGGGTTGGATTAAAAAACAATTGGACCGATCTGATTGATTGAACTAAAAAGTGGATCAACTTATTTATTTACCAAGAAGTTTGTTGAGTTAAGTTTCGAACGGCCAAAATTGTCAACAGTACTAATCCTAATAATTTTGTACGTATTTTTTGTTTCATTAAACTCTCTCTCGTATTCTTTATCTTCAAGGTAAGCCTTCTTCTATGTGGACCAAACCAAAATTTATGTGGGCTTAATTAGGAAATGGGCCAAACTAGATGGGCTGGGTCGACTTGATCATGGGCCTACCTAAATTTGCCATCAGGCCGGGCTGGGTCATGGACTCAAGGTAGCCTCAACCAATCAAATCTCTTTTTGAATGGAAATGGTATGGGGCAATTTGGCCTCACAAGTCTTACATCGAATTTTGCATGATATGACAACAATATTATACAAATTTTATTCTTGTATTCCCAATAAATATTTCATTTCCTTTCAAAAAGCCAAAAATAAATAAATAATAATTCCAAACGCACCCTGTATTAAAATCGGCCTTCATTCTTAGGCATCAGCATCGGGTTTTTTCTCCTGCAGAGAAAAACTGCGTCATCATTTACAATTAAAAAAAAAAAGTAAAAGTGATGAAATGGAAAGTAATAGGTGCAGAAGCGGTGCTGGCAGAGCAATCCAATAAAACTTTCTTTTTTCTATTTCTTTTTAAATATCATTTATTTAATTTTTTTTTATATCTTTTGTATTATATAAAATATTATTATCTACAAAATGATATATATATATATTAATATAATTTTATTTAAATAATATTATTAATTATTTTGATATAAATTAAAATATACTCCCTCCGTCCGAAACATCATGCAACATTTGTGTTTGGCACATGAATACGTTAACGAACCGAGCCGAACAACATAAACAGACTCTTTGGTTAACGAACGAGTCCGAGCTTTGTTCGCGAACATTCGTTTAAATAATATATTTATTATAAATATTATATATACATATAAAATTATAATTTATAAATAAATAAAGTATTAATTTAAAATATATAAATAAAGTAAATTTAATTTTTTTTATAATTTATATATAAATTTAAAAAAATAAGACAAAGAGCTCGAACGAACTTAATCGAGCCTAAATGAACCGAACACGAACACGAGCTCAAATAATAAAAATTCTTAACGAGCCGAACTTCAACACTACGAATGGGCTCGAAAGCTTAACGAACGACCCCAAGCCTTGTTCGCGAACGTTAACGAATACTTAAAATTTGGCTCAGCTCGGCTCGAATCGTTAATAACTCTATTGGGCGTGTGGTCCTTTTAAACAAAGTTTTTCAAATCTACTGTAGCGACATTGTGCAAACTATTTCGAGTGTGAAACCAAACTCTTTATAGTCGACAGTTTCTGCGGCTACGTGGTAGGCCTAATACCTTTGCCTTTTTTTTCTTTTTTTAAAAATTTTAATAAACTCATTTTATGAATACTTTTGCACAACCATTCAAAAATATTTATAAATAATTTTTAATTTTTTTAATAATAATAATTTAATAAAATATAAATAATATATGTCATTTTATAAGACCATCTCCAACTCTCAACTCCATTTTTGCAGTTGTTTTGATGTACAGTAATTTTACTCCAATCATAAACTTCAATTTTTACTCTAAAAAGTATATTTCCTATATATTCCTCTTTTATATTATTCTATATAATTTTTAATATTTATAAATTATACCCCAACTTTAATTTATTTTTATATTAGAACCATACACATATAATTTATATTTTATTTAAAATTTACAAAAAAAAATAATTTTAAATAAATAATTAAATACTATCAAGACAAATATGATATAATAATTAAACAAAGATAACGTAATATTATATATTAATTTAAAAAATAAAATTATTTATTACTTTTCAAAAACTAAAATTATATCACTTTTAAAAAATAAAATTATACATTATTTTCAGAAAAATAAAATTATATACAATTTTTTAAAATATTAAATTATATATCATCTACTAAAAAATTAAAATTACACAATACACAAAAAAAAATACTAAAAATATAAAAAATACCACAAAAACTCCACTCAAAAAATGGAGTGAAGTTTGGAGTAACACTGTTATAGCTGCAAAAATGGGGGGTGGGTTGGAGCCCCCCAATTTTTTGTACGCAAAAAAATCGAACCGAATCGTCGAACCGTTGAATCGAACTGAATCGAACCGAATTTTCGGTTAACCGAGCAAATTCGGTTCGAATACAAATACTCTATATTTGGTATTTGTTCGGTTCGGTTCGGTTTTTCATATTTTTTCCGGATCGGTTAACCGAACCGAATATATTTATCTATTTATATTATTATATTTTAAAATTTATATTAATAATTATATACGGTTCGGTTTCGGTTCGGATATTTGAAATATTTGCAAATATTTTTTATTTAATTAGAATTTTAATTTTTTTTATATATTTTTTCTTAATTTCGGTTCGGTTCGAGTTATTTGCAAATACTACAAATATTTTCGGTTAACCGAAATTTTCGGTTCGAATACGGTTCGCGGTTTCGGGTATTTGTTCGATTCGATTCGGTTATCAAATATCTGTATGTTTGCAAATAATCGAACCGTGCCCACCCCTACATAAATGCAGTGGGTTGGAGATGATCTAAGTATAAAATTTTATAAAATATAATTAAATAAAAAGAATGTAAGTATTTATTTATAATGAACACAAATTAATACTCAAATTATACCAATTTTAATTTCATAAACTTAATTTAGTATACATTTTATATCATTATTATTTTACCTATCAAATCAATACACATCAATACTTCTAAACCTAAACAAAATCTACTAACTCAAAGAAAAGCAACTTTCAAAAACTACAAAAAAAAAAAAAAAATTAATTCAAATCCTAACCAAACTCAAAGGATAAATGGTGTGTTTCTTCAACTCCAGTTTGGAGAATTTTACTACGTACAGTAAAAAAAAACACTGCAGTGGCAGTGTTTCTTTTTTTTTTAAAGTAAAAATATAATTTAATATTTATAATAATTATAATTTAATAAAATATATACAATATAAATGTCATTTTCTTAGAAAATAATTTTTTTTAAATATAAATAAATAAAAATTAAAAAAATATATATATATTTAGATATGATATAAATTCGTAATCAAATTTTACCCTTATTATACATATTTATATTATTATATTTATTATTCATCAAATCAATCGTATCTAGGGATGTCAACGGGGCGGGTTCTGCAAGCCCCGAGACCCGCCCCGCCCCGCTTCCACCCGGCCCCAGCACCCGCCCCGCCGGGGCCAACCCAGCAAACCCGCTTTTCTTAAAAATATATAATAATAAATATTTTTTTAACAATCAAATACTTAAAACAAATAGCATTAAAAGCACAAAAAAAAAATTCTAAAAACAATTAAATATTGATCCATAAAAATAAGATAAAAGTACATAAACACAATGCAAATATAAGAATTTAAAACATCAAATAGTCAATTCTAACATTCTTCAACATCAAAGTCTTCATTTTTATCTAGCATTGTAGGAGGACAACTTTTTGATCCAACGGTCGATCCATTAGTACCTAATTAAAAAAATATATATACATATTATTATATTGGCGCTGGCGGCCGATGGTGGTCGGCAGAAGACAAATAGATGAAGATGGAAGACACGACAGTCTTGAAGAAGCGGAAAAAGAAATTAGAGATTTAGGGTTGGGGCAGATATCTAATTGAATTTTATGTTTAAAATTATTTAAATAAATAAATAATATATTTTTATTATATAAATATATATAATAATTTTAAAAAATTACTTGGTAGCAGACGACTAATTAAATTTTATATTCAAAATTATTTAAGTAAATAATATATTTTTATTATATAATATACATATATATTAGTTATAATAATTTCAAAACATATCCGGGTTCAGGTCCTGGTTGGAATTTGAACGGGTTTTTAGTAAAACCCGTAACCCGCTCCGAACCTGGCCGGGTTTAAATTTTTAAATCCACAATCTGCCCCGAAACATATTATTTAGACTCGAATTCGCTTCATTAAGAGCGGGTTCGGGGCTAACCCGCCCCATTTGACATCCCTAATCGTATCAAAACTTTTTAAACTCTAACCAAATCTAAACACAAAAAAAAATATCAAAATTCAAACTCCCTCAAAATTTAAATAAAAATCGAATCCAAACCCAAATTTCCTCGAATCCAAACCCAAAGAAACACACAATCTTCCCAAACTAATCCCATCAAAATGCTGATGGGAATGGAATTCGGTTCTCCACTACGAAGCTAGCTGTAATTTGCTTTGCATTTCAACCCTACTTTCTCTTTATTCTTGTTTTGAAGTATTCTCTGTCTCAGCTAATTATTGAATTGAAAGCTCCTCATCAATGGTGATTATATATATATAGATTTCTCTAGTTAGCTACTTTCAGCTTCGCCTTCAAGATTGCTCGACACCATCCACTCGAATCTAATCTCGCTTTCACAAACTAGCTACCTATTTATAGGACCGAATTTCACCATGCATTTCTAGCTTATATAACAGTTTGATTGCGTTTTAATTTTAATTAATTCTGTGCTTCACTCCTACCTCATTCATGGCGTCTCTTTCTCTTCAGGTACGATGCCAGCTCGCCAGTTACCTGTGGTTGAATAATGATTTAGCTTCCGAATTAAACCCTAAACCCCAAACCCTAAACCTTTTTTTATTTTTATTTTTTATAATTGAATAATTCGTTCCTACTACTTTCTGTTGATGCTCTAATTAAATCAAAATTAATTATTATGCAGGATGGCGCTCCATTGAAAGACGCAGTAACCGAAGGTGAAGTAGCTGTGAAGGAGCCACAGGTAGGGGCGCCGCCGACGCTTCCGGAGGATCCGGTTTTGACGCTAGACGTGGAAGAAGATGAAGATGAAGATGAAGAAGAGTACGGCGTGGAGGCGCCGCAGTACGAGTTAGGGAAGGTGGAAAACTTGGAGCAGGAAGAAGATGAGAAGGATCTGGATCTGGATCTGGAGCCTGAGGAGTACTCGTCACCATTCGTGGAGAGATCAGATCAAGACGCGACGGCTCCTCCGTTCCGTTGGGGTGCCGGAGAAGATGATGCTGCTGCTGCTGCTTTCGACGACGACGACGACGGGGACGACTTAATTAATTAACTAACTAACTAACGAACACATAATTGCTTTAGACTAATTGCAAGTAGAAGAAGATAATGAACTCGATCGATCTCCTTTTGTTGCGTAATCGTCCCAACTTTGGATCATTGTGTAATTGAAGCATCACTTCTTATTCAAATACTACTTCTCTCTAGCTTTTTTTAATTTTATTTTTTATAATTTGAGATTCGCAGTTGTTGTTTGTTGAATGCGCTCGGGGTAAATTTTTAGCAGGACCTAATAGCCTATAAACAAACAGATTAGGAGAATCACACCGGACGAATCATGTATAACAGACCAGATCTGGAGGCGTCGATGGTTTGAATCTATAACTTTAAGGTCATGAGTCCACTCCCACGCCACCATACCATCTGTTACAGAAATTTTATTTTATTTTTTAATTTGTTTTGTTTGAATAATACTAAACAAACCCTATAATTTTTTATATTGTTTCTATTTTTAATTGAATACATAGGTTGATAATTGTAACACGGTTTTTTTTTTTGTGTGTTCTTGATACGTGGTTGTGTTTGAATAGTAAATATTTTGAATTGAAATAGTTGTATAATATGATATAAATGGGTATTGATATGATATTTGAATGTAAAATTGATTTTTAATAAAATGTAAAAAAAATAAAAAATAGATATTTTATTTGATATTTTTAGCCTTATTGATTATTACTCAATACCTCATTGATGAACAAAAAAATCCTAGGAAATTACCAGCTAATACTCGAAAAGCATATTTGATTGGGTTCATCTTCAAATTATAATTTATTCTAAAGAAAGTGGGTTCATCTTCAAATTATAATTTATTCTAAAGAAATTTTGTTCTGTTCAAATAAGTGTGTCTTGAAGTTTATTAATTTGAAAATAAAATTATCAATGTATATTTCCATATTGTGGCCAATTAAATTGTGGAAAATTGTACTCATGATTCGATGATAAGTTACTCCAGCATTTTTTTAGTCTGAATGACATAATAGTGCATTCATAAATGCCTAAGGCTCCACAAAATCTGAATGAAATTTTTCTGACATCTTCTTTGGCTAAAAATATTTTATTATACCCTACATAACCATTCATAAGAGACAATATCTTATATCTTGTAGCCGAATCAATTAATATATTTGTCATAGGCATGACATAGTCATCTTTTGGGGTTGTCAAGTGATATTTTCCAGCCTCTCGACATATCTGTATGGACGAATGAAACTCTCCTTTAGTAACTATTCGATTTTTTCTTTAATTTGTGGTATTAATTATGGATTAGTGCATTTTAACAATTGTTTGCATGATTTGTATCATTCTTTGATTGAAAGTCTATGCTCAATCAAGTTCCGATATGAAAACCTTTTGATTATGTCAACCATTTGGTGTTACTATTTCAATGTCAATAAGCCACTGACCGGAACGTTTTTCAGGTCTTGTTCACTCCCTAAGTTGGTAGTAGTCTATATCGCTAATACATAATCTCTTTCTCAGAACATCCATTGTTAGTGGAGTGTAGATGAAATGTACTGAGAAGCATGTATTTAGTCCCTTCCTAACAATGCTGAGTATATTGTGTCTGCTTCCACTGTGAAGAAGACTGTGGAAAAAAATTTTGACCCAATTTCTATGGGTGCCACTATACTCTTTTTTGGCTTTGTTGGCTGTCATGTGAAGCTAGTTATGTCAATATCCAGTTCGGTCAAACCGACCATATCTCTCCTCAATTTCCGAAGTGTTTTCAACGGAATCACGTTGAAAATAACTTCATTATCAATGAAAATTCCGTCAGTAGGTTTTCCGCGAATGTGTCATGTTACGTACAAAAGCTTCATATACAAGTGATTTCTTTCGGAATTGGCTCAAAAGTAATCTGAGAAGACCTCTTCTTGATTGCAGGTGGATTTTCATCAACTTCAAACCATGTCAGCATTGCGTATTTAGGCTCCCCTTCTCCTAGATTATTGGGATTGGCGAATTTGCCCGTGGAGCTTCAACATCTTGTGTTTATACCCCTGACATTGGATATGTAATTTTAGATTCGTGAACTAATGAGTTTCGTCAAAAGGGATATAACTCTATATATAAATCATATACACATCGTCATATGGTAGTTCCACCCCTTATAATTTAGTAGCATGTTCAGAGAAAAATCAGTTCCAACACAATATGGGATCCCTTAATTCATCAAGATTTGCATTCGGAAGGTGAAAAAGAATTGAACGTGATTTTTTATTATTTTTTTAACTCTTTTTCTTGAAAAAACGGATCCATGTTTATTCGGTTGCAATGCTTACACCGAAAACACTTAGTTTTTTGGTGAAAGCTTTTGTTACTTTTCTTGTCATCTCTATTTCTAGTTCTCTTGACTATCCTTTGTTATGTTTTTCGGTCCAAAGTGATGTTGACTTTGACCAATACTTTCTTTTTTAGATTCTTCTTTCCTCTCCATTCAACCTATGCTCTTTCATGCGCTTTTTATTCGGCCTATGCTCTTTCATCCACTTTTTTGTCAAATTTTCTTCCCTATAATTATTTTATCGGGATTGCTCCAAGCAACTTTTTGGATACTTTCTAGCCTATCATTTACGTAGTGAATGCCTTTGTTTTGCAATTCTAACTAGGTTTGATTTTTTCCTATAAATTGTGGATCAATATTGGTGAGAAAGTATGAAGAAATTATACCACTTGTTGTAGGGCCGGACTTCTATTTATCATTTGAAGTCAATTCTTGTTCCTTAGGTATGCAAATCTGGCCATCAACAAGTAGAACATAAAAGATTTCATTGGCCTTTGAAATGTCAAAGGATGGCAGCTCTTGATTTCCCTCAGTGCCAGGTATAGGCCTCAGCTTAGGGCACACATCAGGTTTTTCTTTCACTATCTCAACTGTCATTTCATGTCTCTCTCTCTTTAGCACTCTCTATCTTTGGATAATGATGTGAATTATGTTTCATACTCACCATTGTTAAATCTTAATCTTTCATGCAGACTTATATTTGTCCTTGAATAGTGTCTCAAACCTACTGAACTTACAGACTAGTTGAGCCAAATTGGAAATGTCATATGTAGTGAGTTGCTCACATAATTGGGCATGTATATTTTGGGCCATTAAATTAGTCAATTATCCCTTGTTAATAAAGGTGAAACAATGTCGTTCTATTTTCCTTATGCACTCAATAAAATAGGTTAGGCTTCCCTCAACATTTGTCATATTTGAACCAAATCGGTTAATGAAACAATGGGCATTGGGCTGTTAAATTATGTGTGGAAAGGAATCTCCATAGCTTCCCAGTTATGGAACTGTCTTGGTTGTAGACTCATATACAATGAAAAGGTATTTTTGGTTAGTAAAGTCCAAATAAATGCAATTTAAAATAGGATTGTTTCTTGGTTCACCCAATTGTACAGTGAATCGGTCGATATATTCAATAATAGAGACATCATTCTTTTCCGAAAACATTTGAAAATCTAGTGACTGAAAATTCCTTGGTAAAGGATGTTCGGTGATAACCCTCTTTAGAAATGGTTTATTACAATTCAGTCAATTAACAAACCATAGATCCATTTCAAAATGAACCCTTTAACACCTGAGCCACGTCTTCTGAAGTAATTATGGTGGGTGGAACGTCATGTGGTCGTTCAGGGTTGGTGTCCTTATAACCAAACTACTCTTTGCACATTTCGAAGGGAAATTCGTCTGCCTTCGACCCAATGGTGCATTGTTGGGATATGTGACAAGAGTTTTTCCTTTGTTCAGCCTGTTTATCTGAGTGTTGGTTGGTATGGTGTTTTTTTTTTAGAACTGACAAAAATTAACCAGACTTTATAATCCAACCTAAATCTGATCTCAAATTGTTGGGTTTGGGTTAATTTGTTACCCAAGTAATTATTAGGTCAAACTTATTTAACTTATGAAATTAAATAAGTTAGGTTTTGGTAGGGGTGAGCATTCGGATTTTCGGTTCCGATTTTGCCAAATTCGAACCGATCCGAAAATTCGAAATTTTTGAAAAAAACCAATCCGAACCGAACCGAAATAACCGAAATCCGAAAATCCGTAATCCGAACTAAAAAATCCGAACCAAACCAAAAAATCCGAAATTCTAAATATTTTTATTATTATTTTTTAAAATTTTAAATTCTTTTATATTTTATTATTATTTTATAATATTATATATATAATAAATAAAAATTAAATATATTAAAATATAATTAATAAATTTGACTTTTTTATATTAAAATATAATATTTTCTAATAAAATATTAAATATATATAATAAACAAATATATTAAAATATTATATTTCGGATTTCGAATTGGTTCGGATTTTAAGTATACCGATCCGATCCGATCCGAAAATTCGAAATTTGTTAAAAATTCAATCCGATCCAATCCAAAAATCCGAAAAATCCGAATCAAATTTTAAATTTCGGTTTGGTTCGGATTGGATTTTCGAATTTTGGATATTTTGCTCACCCTTAGGTTTTGGTCAAGATTTTCAACTTAAAAATAACCTATTTAAACTATTTAATTAATACTCCCTCCGTCCAGCTAGAAAGTATACATATTTCTATTTTGGGACGTCTAATTACAAAGTAAACATTTCATTGATACCTCACTTTTTTTCACAAATATCCTTATTTTACATCACATCATTACTTTTACACCAAAAAGCAAGGACAAAAATGTTATTTTACTACTTTTAAATACTCACTATAATTAAAATATTATTATTTCTTAAACACCGCGCCAAAATAAATGTTTACTAAATGGTGTGTTTGTTTGGGGGTTTGGATTTTGAGTTGGGATTTGAATAGTAAAAATTTTGAATTTGAATAGTTGTATGATGTGATATAAATAGGAGTTGATGTGATGTTTTAAATGTAAAAATTGATTTTTAGTATAATATAAAAAATAAAAAATAGATGTTTGATTTGATATTTTTGGGAAAAAAAATTGAAATGAATATTAAAAATTCACCAAAATTCTTCGGACAAACACACCCAAATGTGTGTGGACGGAGGGAGTACTGCTTTAAATTTAAATATATTTTTGAAATTTTACCAATCCAATCCAAATATTATTGGACCATTTTATGAAAAAATAAAAATAATAAGATTTAAACTCAAATCCTACAAAATTATATATGTTTAAAAAATTATTTCAATTTCATAACCCTCCATTACACCAGTCGCGAGTTGCTCCACCATTTTTCTTTTATCCGGTCATCCCTAAACAACGGTAAAACTTTGAATTTAATTTTCTTTATGTGTTTTTTTTTCTCAATAGATTGAAAAGAAAAATAAATCGCCATGTGTATTGTGCACTACCATTCAGGCAGCCGTAAGTTAACAAATAAAATCGATACTTTGAAAATACTTTTGCATGTAGTATGAAGTAATTGTTTTTTAATTTTTTGTTATTATTTTCTATTTTTATTATTTACTAGTATTATTTTATTTTTTGCAACACACTTATTTTTCTTTTGTATTCAAATTCTATATAAACGGTCATGGCTTATCAAAATAGTGTCTTCTTAGATTTTTCTGGAGAAGATGAGACAAATAATAACTAAAATTAGGAATAATCATAGTTATCAAAAGGAAAAAAAAAAAATTATAAATCTGTTATTCCTGAAAATAAAAAATGCGCTCGTAAGCTTACTTACGAAGTTTGGGCTTATTTTGATTTTTCTTGGTAAACCTGATGAAAATAGAAAATTATTATGTAAATGCAAAAAATGTGGCAAATGTTTTAATAGGTCAAATACAATGGACACCAAGAACTTTAATCGTCATCTCAAATTTTGTCTTAAAAATACTTATAAAGATATTGGACAAATAATTTTATCAATATTTTCTTCAAATTTAGAGAACACGTTGCTGAAATTCAGTATTGATGTTTTTGTAAACTATTAGCCATTGCCATTATTAAGTACGGTTTTTCATTTCAGTTTGTTGAGTATGAAGGAATTAATTTTTTTATTTAATTATTTGATTATTGAATCAAAGTTAATTTTAAGAAATACAATTAAAGCTCATAAGGAAGAAATAGAGAGGAGAAAAATGAATCTTATTAATTATAGGGTATCACTCACTTGTTGAAATTTTATTACTATGGATGGTCCTCTCTATAACTATTCAATTTGTTAATAAAGAATGGTGTTTGCAAAAAATAAATAAATAGATTTTAACTTTTGTTTTATTCCTCCACCTATACGGAAGTTCATTTTAGTGATCAAGTATGTACTATATTGAATGATTGAAGTATTTCAAAGAAATTTTTTTTTTTCTATTTTTGGATAATGCATTGTTAAATGATACTTTTGTTGATGTTTTTACAGGTAAGCTTGACTTGGTTTGTAAAGATGAATTTATTCATGTGTGGTATTGTGTTAATATATTGAAGTTGAGGGTTCAAGAGGATTTGAAAAAAAATTGATGGTGTTGTATTGAAGTTTAGGGAAAGTGTGAAGTATTGTAAGGATTCTCAAAGTTGAAAGCAAAAAAATTTAATTGTGTTGAACATGTTAAACTTGAATCAGCTAAATGATTAAATTAAGATGTTCTAACTAGGTGAGACATCCCTCGCTCGAAGATTGGGTCATAAATTCGATCCTTGGTGGGTCGTGTATGCATGTGTTTGGTGAAATTTTACGCTGAGAGTGTGAATGTGTGCATGTGTTTAAAAAAAAAAAAAAAAAACCTAATGGAATCCGATGTGATAAGCTCCTATAAATTTTGTTAGAAAACTCCATTTAATTATAAGTCTAAATAAGTATCACCTCTTTCAAATGAATGCTCATAATAGATGAAATCCTACAGGTGTATTCAATTAGGAGATTAGGGATTTGTTTCGATTTTAAAATGGATGTAAAATTAATTAGACTTAAAAATTTTATAAAATCTATGCATAGTTTAATTAAATTTTTATTAATTTATATGATTTTTTATAATTTTTATTAGATTATTTATTGATTTACATATATTTCATTTGAATTTATAGATTTACATATTAAATATTTTTTTATTAATTTTTATTATATTTATAAATTTTGGTGCTGCAAATATATATGGAGTTTATTTATATATATATATATATTAAAATTTTTAAATATTTAAAAAAATATTAAAAATACATTACTTTTTCTAAAAAAAAATATGTATTATTATTATCCTCATCTTCATTTTTCATTTTAGTAATAATAATAATTTTAAATTTATATATTTTTATTATATTATTATCAAAGTATCAATATTTTTATAATAATTTAATATTTAATTTAACTACTTATTAAATTTATTATGATAATTAATTTTTATCATATATAACAATCTACTAAGCAGTTGTTGCATAATATTTTTTTCTCAGACACATTTTCAATATATATTTATTTTGTTATAAAAGTCAATATTTAACAGAAAATATTATTTTTTATATTATCGACATTCTCTATATCTCAAAAAAAATTCTACAAATCAAAACACTAAATAAACAAACTCTAAACTGTTATTAAATACTGTATATAGTTTTTTTACATGCAAAAAAATATATATTACCGTTTTTTTAATTGAAATTAAAAAAAATAAAAGAATTAAAACATAATAAATATAAACTAACCATTTAAAACAAAACGGGTGATTTTTTAACTGAAACCAATAAACCGAAAATGAAATTAAAAATTACAAATTAAAATTTTGGGAAAAAATAATTTCATTTTTTTTTTGCCAAAGCCAATCCAAACTGACATTTTTTCTCCTTATTGTAAATATTTGAGCTCAAAAGAATTGTCTATGTCTATGACCTTTCAAAAAAGTAAAACCCATAATTTTAATTGGAATTGTTTGAACAAGTCTATTTTGTTATTTTAAAATACATAAATCTTAGTATTATTTCAAATATATAAACTTGTAAAAATATTAGTAATTTTATATTTACATTTAAAGGTTTTTTTTTATTTTAGTGATATTATTATAATAAAATATTAAATACATATTAGATAATAGATAGTTATTATTGATCTAAAAAAATAATATATATTTTTTTGAAAAATATCATAAATTTTAAAAAATGTTAGTTATTAATAATTTTATAAAAAAATATCCAATAAAACTTATATATTTTTAAAATTCATAAATTATTTAATACACCACAATTTCTAAAAACTTTTTGAAACCTAAATTAAATACAAACAAATTTTTAAAATACTTTTAAAATTTGAACTAAATACAGCCAATTTTCAATTTTCAATACTCAATAATCCAATTAAATCTAGATTAAATGCATCCATTTAGTTCCAAGATAACACCACCACTAAGTGTTCTTCCTTCCCTCAAGTCTAAGAGTTCTCAACCCTGCCTCACCGAAGACTCTCGTAAAATATCACATTAAAATATTATTTAAGCAAAAATTCAAAACATTCTATTCTAAATTAATTTAAAACCACAATCAAATAAATAATATTAACATAAATTTAAAAATATTAGAAAACAAATCTATAAATTATTATATGAAAGAGGGACACACAGGATATATAACAAACTCCCTGACATTTTAAGGTTCTTCTGCCACACATGAGTATAACTAGTCTTTCTGGCTATTAAGTTCGACTAGAAATTTACAGACGGTTAAAGAGACAATCTTTTATCATAGAAGTTCTACATTAATTGGTACTCTACAAAATGGAAGAAGAAGGATGTGACTGTGGTTTCGAGAAATAAGCCGTAACACCCTTTAATCGCCCATTCAGAAAGTTTTGTTCCACCTGATCAACAAAAACACTATTGTTACTTGTATTGAAAAGTAAAATAATAATAATAATAATAATAATAATAATAATAATAATAATAATAATAATAATAATCATCATCATCATCATTATAGCTACCTCTAAAGACCATGGAGGATTAGCCGACAACGATAACTCTGCTAACTGGTTCACATCTACATTTCTTGGCAGAAACATTATCATCTTCGAAGCAATTTTCTTACCAGCATCGAACAGGGATTGCCTGATTTATGTTGTTATGTTATGCAAATAAATAAATAACTAACTCAAATAATGGAACAAGAATGATTGAATGAAATATTTTACATACCCATCCAGTGGCTTAAGCATCGTGGTGAGATCAAACTTCTTTACTTTGGAATAGTCGGGACCTCCCCAGGGCGGTGACATGAACACCGTATCTGCCTGAAACAATATACAGACTTTCACTAGAGGAATTGTAACAGAGAAATATAAGTATATTTAGTGATGGTATGGGAAATAAAAGGTTAAGACATAAATTCAAACACCTTCAGCTTTGCGGCCAAGGAAAAAGAGTCGCCATTTATGAAGTCTATGTTGCTGTCAACTCCATATAGGGAAGCGTTATGCCGCGCGAACTCAATTTTTTTTGGATCAATGTCGACTGCAATAACATGTTTACAGCTGAAGCAAAAGGCATATATCATTAATCAAAAATATTCACGTAGAAAAGATTAGATATCAATCTTATGGATGAAAATGAAGCTCACTGCTGTATCTACGAAAGCTGTCGATTAGAAAACCTTAAATTAAGGACACACTAACCGTCGCGCAAACTGAATTGCATTCCCACCGACGCCAGTAAAAAAATCGACTATTGAGCCATCGTTGCTTTGGGCTGCATGATGTTTGGCTAGAGACTCTGGGGTTACAGAAAACCATCCTTCTTCATCCATTCTAATCCCGTAATCGAACTTGGAAAATAAAAGGTATCTTTGGCACCAATATTTGCTTATACTAGGGAGCTCTTGCAGAATTCCTTGGTAATCTGCAAATATGAGGAAAGAAGTCATCCGAGAGGACAAAAATAAGATACAATCGGCTTTACATGTAACAATCCTATCCTTAATTTGGATTTAAAACCGAAGAAGGACAAAACAATTGCAAACAACGCAACAAACCTTCACTAGAACTTGATTTTGTGCTCAATTTTTTTCTCCTCACTCGCTTTTTCCTTTTGATAGTTTGAGTGCCAACGTCGTTACTGGTAGAAAGCTCGCTTCCAATGGAGTCACCGATCTCCTGACTTAATGGCCCGTTATCTTTCCCAGAATCTTTAGCCAAGTCGAGATCAAGTTTTTGGTCACACAAACCTTCAACCCCGTCATACTTGGCAAAATGTGCTTGGGCGTTTTCTAACTCAGCCAGTTCATCGGCAACATTGCAATAAACAAGATGTTCCATTCCTGCAGGGGGATCCCACGTAGACTCGTGTGTACTAATGTTGTAGAAATATGTTCGCATGTGAAAATCATCCCAATATGTAAGCCATTCTCCAGGGTCATCATAAACAGCAGAATTTGCCCCTTCCGTAATTTCTTTCACAGCTTGTTTGTCAGCACCCTCGTTTATTAAGCAAAATCCTTCCAAAGCTCCATCGCCAAGACGTGAAGCATTAGGCATCATATTATTATTTTCGCATAGGTGCTCGAATTCATCCAATGAACTATTTCCAAGTTCCGGGCTGGGCCCCAAACTTTTATTGAATCCAAGATTGGAAGCTTCAGTGTTGCAGCTGCAAGAATTTTCAGGGGCTCTTTGGCTGATTTGTGCTGTCAAGCTCAATGAATCGCCCAGTCCGAGGGCCAGTTTTGATAAATCATCTACATCTATAATGCCAAGGTTCAGTATTTCACTTTCCTCTGTCGCATTTGAAGTATGAACTAAACAAGCAGGAGACGTACTCTCCTCACTCACAGTTGTAGAATCTAACATGTGGTCATTGATTTCAAATCGACTTTTCTGATTATTTTTTCTTGTGCTCTTCTTTTTTGCATAATTCATTCCACATTTCCTCTACAAAATAAACCATGTCAATTAAACAGATGACAGAATAGCCCAATGTTGACAGTGAAGAACAAAGAAACTTAACATTACTGTAAAATGCAATTGCAATGTCAACCAACACTCAGTCGATCAAATCATTATAAATTTCAAATAAACATGTCAGCAAAACAACCTTCCAAAACAATGTGTTCATAAGGTGTAAATTCAGCAGCAACTAACACTAAAACAGTTGGTCCAAGAACACAAAAATGACTTATCACCAGTCAATCAACAATCAAGGTATCAAAGTGTGCACAAGCCGCAGTTCTTACATTGAGATTAAAAATGCAGACTTCATGTCTCAGTACTCACCCTATCCTCATTATTCAGAATGATATGAAATTATTTTTGGAAGCAAGAACCCTCTATAACTCGTACCCACGGTCAATCTTCAGGCATTAGCAATTATCTTACCAACAACCTAATCCATACTTCAGGTTTACCAACCATTAATTTCTCATTTTAGTTGCTATGCCATATGCTACTAAACAAAAACAGCTCGTACTCATTTTCAATCTCAAATATATCCGTAGTCACACAAATAAATTTTCAAACTAAAGCTCAAGAAGAAACAGAGTTTTTACCTCCTTGTTAGAGCAAAAAGAGAGTGGAAGTCCCAACTCATTCAATTTTTCAGCAAGTTCGAAATCTTTTTGTGACAAAGAGAACCCTGAAAATGCAAAACATAACTTCATGACATAGGGAAAAACTTGGGTAGATATAAACATGTTTACAACCACAAGTAAATAAAACAAAACAAACTGAAATCAGAAAAAACTTTAACTTGCCATTGATATCATCTAATTCCCTCTTCTCATCACCCTCAACAAGTTCCTGCATCACATGTAAATTAAACTTTAAGGCGCACAGAATAAAAACAATCTGTAAAAGTACTTCGCTAGATTACAACTTTTTTTTTAGTTCCCCAACAAATTACATGAACAAACTTACATTGGATACTTGATAGTAAGATGATGATTCCTGCACTTCACCCAAGCCAGAATCCCTGTCAAGCAAGGCAACAAAAACATGAAAAACTAATCAGTCTTTTCATACTCTGAACGATAAGTCAAAATACAATTCAACCCTTGCTATTGGAAGTGGATGTGAGAGAGAAAAAGAGAGAATTCCGGCGGACCATAAGTGGATTTCTGTAAGTTTAAACAGCAAACCAAGAGCTCTGACTGCAGGTAATTCATCTATAGCCGAAGAATCCATACTAAAGGTGAAATAGGCCACACTCACTGCGAGAAAAGAAGGAGAAGGTGGAAAGCTCAAAGCTCAGACAAGGTCAGTTAAGGTTTGCTCAATCGCCGACGTCCGGTTATATGAAAAGTGTCTTCCAAGACGGGATTAAATTATCATCGGTAGTGGTAGCACTGTAGCAGTATATTTATTAAGGCCGGGTATGTTTGTTTGTTTAAGGTTAAATACATGACATAGAAAGAAAAAAAAAAAAACAGGTAAGAGGAGGAGAAGAAGAAGAATAATAAGAAAACTGAAGACAGGGGCGCGAGGAAGACGAAGACGGCGGCGTTGTGGATCGGAGAAGCCAAAACACGGTGGTGAAAAAAACGAAGAGACGACAAAGACGACGACGGCCCTGTGGAAATTAAATTAGACTAGGGTTTTAGCAAAAATAAAAAATAAAAAAATTAATAGTAAAACTTTTAATTAAAATAATTATTTGATATAATATAAATACGAATAATATAATATTTTAAATATAAAATTAAATTTTAATATCTTATAATAAATAAAAAAATGAATGTTTTGGTCTTAATTATAGTACAAGTAAACACCTACGAATATATTTTTTCTTCTTTTTCACTTAATTTGTAATTTTTTGTAATTTTTATTTTTTTTAAAAATATAATTATACAGTTTAATTCTATTTTAAAATTCATTATTTATAATTTATAATTTATAATTTTAATTAAATTATTTGATTATTTTAATTTTAATTTATAATTATTTTTATTTTATTTATAATTATTTATTAATTACATAAGATATTAAACGCTATATTTAAAATAAATGAAACAATTTAAATGGGACATAAAGAGTATCATATTTGATTTTGAATTTTGTATTTGAATTTTAAATACAATAAAATTAATATTTTAATAATTGTATAATATATTATAAATAAATACAAGCCTCTTATTTTCTTTATATTTTATAATAAAATTATAAAAATTAAATATTATGACTATTTGGATTTTTTTATATTTTATTTGTATTATGATACAGTATTTTAAATAAATTAATTGTTTGATATATGATGTTTTATATGTAAAAATGCAATTTTTTTAGTTTAAATTTATTTATTTTTAGTTTGTCTATTAAATTTATCTTAATATTATATTTTAAAAATTAAAAATTAATTATTATTCATTTAATTTTTATTTAAAATAAATATTAGTAATTTTATTTCATTTACTTTTTAATAATTTTTCAAAAATATTTTTAATTATCTTCTATTTTTTAATAAAATATTTATTTTTATCAATTCTTCAGCCAAGTCCAAATGGGCTACACATAGCCGGAATGACTATTTTATATTCTCATATAAAATCAGAATATTGTATAAAAAATAAGATTTCAATTGAACTTTATATTTTTATTTTTTTAATCATGACGTTGTATAAAAAAATTAAAAAAGAATCTCACATTTTATATTTTTATTGTTAAAAATAAAATATTTTGAACTAATATTATTTAGGAAAAAAAAATCATATAAATTGACATGATTCTTTAAATTAATATTCCATGTATAATATTCCCTCCCATATGATGATATTTTAACATTCTTGTTATTTAACTTTATGTAAAAAAAAAAATAACTTGATATTTAATGGTATATATATAATTTAAATAAAAATTAAAGGTATTTTAGTATTAATGTACTATTATTTTTACCAAAAAAAAAAAAAACAAATATTTTGTCAAAAAAAAATAATAAAAATGAAACATTGAATTTGGATGGAGGAAGTAATTATTTTTAAATATAATATTTACTCACTATTTTTTATTCAAAATATTGAGAAATATTATTTGTATTATAAACTATTCTATTTTATTAAAAAATACATAATATATATACATCAAACACTTTATTTATTATATAAAATTTTCTGTATTAGTGTAAAATCTATATAAAATATAGCTTTGTTTATTTAAAAAACTTTAATTCATTTGATATTATTTATTTTTTAAAAAATATAATATCAAATATAATTTTTCTCTTACAAAATATCAAATCAAATTAAAATATAATTTTTTACTTTTTTCAAAACTTTCAAAATTTCAAAAGTTTTCAAAAATCTATCGTCTAAACAGAGCATTTTTTTTATATTTAATTATAATTACATGCATTATATAAAGACAATTGTATGTATAGAAATAAAAATTCTATGATTCTGACTATGACATTATATTAATAAAAAGAAATAAATGTATAAATAATATAGATATATTTTTAAAAAAAATATATATATATATATATGAATAATTAGATGATATCGTATTGTGTTGAAATGAATATTATTGTAACATTTTTTAATATAACCATCTACTGATAAAAATAGATGAAGTTGGTAAGTTGTTTCTCCAATATTACCAAAAAAAAAACTCAAATGCATATTTATTTTTTAAGATTATTAGCGTAATAGCATAACTTTTAGTTGATACTTTTGAACGAAAAAATTACTTTAAACAAATTTTATGTGGCAATGAAGTTTTGTATAAAAAATAATAATAATAATAATAAATTAGTATTTATAATTTTTAAGTTTTTTTTTTGTTATGAAATATGGAGAATTATGAAATTATTACAATGAATGAATTTTATGTGAATATTTTATTTTTTTTCTATTATTGTTATAATGTACTCGCTCCGATCCAATACAACAGTCTTGTTTACTATTTTTTTTTTTCGTCCCAAAACAATAGTCTCATTTCCATAAATAATCATATTACTATAAAACTACCCTTACTTTTTCATTTTTATTACACAATTGTCACTACTTTTTACAATCATATACTCACAAGGGCAAAAAAGTCATTTATCCTTATTTTTTACCAACTACCAATATAATATCAATATTATTTAAATCTCGTGTCAAAAACAATAAGATTATACTTTTAGAACGAATGAAGTATAATATATATTGTATATTGTATTTTAAAATAATATTTCAAAAAGTCGTTTACATAAAAAATACTAAGGGAATATATTAATAATCTTCTCTGTATTTTTATTAAACAAAATAATGTGTGATTGTTGTAATTAATACAGGATTAGTCAATAAAAATATTAATTATTTGTACCGATAATCATTATTTTATATATTGTATATAATATATATAAGTAAATAGATATAGATGTGTGTGCTGAGTGAGTGTATATATATATAATGTGTACCTTTATATATATATATTATATTATATTATTAAGTGGGATAGTATTAATATAAATGAAGAGTAAATGAACGAAGAGGAGAGTGAGAAAGATTGAGAATTGTATTGATTTTTTCATCTCATTTACAAGCATTCTTCCTATTTATATACATATGAAGGTAAATATTTGATTGTATATAAAAGCATCCACGTTGCATCTGTGTCGACTATATGTGTACTATTTGTGTACTCTTCACAACACTCCCTCTTGGATGTTTTTGTACGAAGAATGTGCCTCGTTAAAACCTTACTAGGAAAAAACCTTATGGGACAAAAAACTTCTAGTGAAGGAAAAAGAATACAACATTCTTATATTAATTCGTTCCCCCTTAATCTGAGCATTATTTGAGATCCCTTAACAGACGGATCCCAATTTTCTTTACCAATTTTTCAAATGTTGCAGTTGGTAATGTCTTGGTTAATATATCCGTCAAATTATTATCTGACGAATTTTTTGCACATTGAATTCACCATTTTGTTGTAGATCATAAGTAAAAAAGAATTTTGGTGAAATATGTTTCGTTCTATCTCATTTAATGTAACCCCCTTTCAATTGAACTATACAGACTGTATTATCTTCATACAATATAGTCGGGGGATTTTATCGTCGGGTATTAACCCAAAATTTTTCAGTATATGTTGAGTCATTGACCTCAACCGTTACATTCTCGACTAGCTTCATGTATTGCCAATATTTCAGTATGATTTGAAAAAGTGACAGTTAAAGTTTGTTTCATTGATCTCCAGGAGATCACTGTTTCGCTACAAGTGAATATATAGCCAGTTTGTGACTTGGCTTTATGAGGATCAAATAAATATCCTGCATCGGCAAAACCAATCAATTCATGTCAAGAATCTTTTGAGTAAAATAACCCGAGATCAATTGTTCCTTGGAGATAGCGAAAAATGTGTTTAATCACATTCCAACGTCGTCGAGTAGGCGATGAGTTGAATCTTGCCAATAAGTTTACAGAAAATGATATATTAGGTCGGATGTTTTTAGCAAGATACATCAATGCGCCTATAGCACTCATATATAGCACTTCTGGGCCAAGTGTTTCTTCATTTTCTTCTTTTGGTCTAAATGGATCATTTATTTGATCAAGTGCTCTGAAGATTATTAGGGTACTTAGCGGATGTGACTTATCCATCAGAAATTGTTTTAGTACCATTGTTACGTATGAAATTTAGAATTAGGTTAAAAAGCCCAAGGTAAAAGAAAAATGGGCCTGGCAATAGAGTTGATTGAACTGGCTGAAGGACACCGTGGGGAACTCAAGGAAAATAGGTTTATTTCTAAGGAAAATACAGGTCGGAAGGACCTTAAGTCAGAAGGTCCTCAGGTCGGGAGGTCCTCAGATCGGAAAGACCTCAGGTCGGAAGGTCCCCAGGTCGGGAGGTCCTCAAGACGGAAAGTCCTCAGGACGGAAAGACCTCAGGTCGGAAGGTCCTCAGGTCGGGAGGTCCTCAAGACGGAAAGTCATCAGGACGGGAAGTCCGCAGGTCGGGAGGTCCTCAGGTCGAAAAGTCCGCAGGTCGAAAAGTCCTCAGTACGGAAAGTCCTCAGGTCGGACAGGTCGGGAGGTCCTCAGGTCGGAACTCTGCGACGGGACCAACAAGTCGGATGGTCTGTTAGTCGGGAGGTCTGTAGCTGAACTAAACAAGTCAGATGGTTTGCAAGTCGGGAGGATTGGCAGTCGGACCAATACGGTTGTAGATTGGCAGTCGGGCCAAAAGGGCGGAAGGTCTGTGGTCGGCTCAAAGAGTGAAATATAGTGACAACTTTCGTCCGCTGAGGACACGTGTCAGCAGGAGAAGGGTTGGAAGACGGTTGGAAAGGAGACGTTGTAACCGTTCGGGCGACGGTTTTCAGTACAGTTTCCCAGGGAATATTTAAGGGTTTGGATCATCATTTGGCAAGGAATCTTCAATCAACTTCTCAACAAAGCAAAGTCAGATTTGGGGATCACCACTTTAAATTTCAGTCTTTTATTTTCCAGTTTATTTTCTGTACCATACAGTGTTTAGAGATTTCTAATCTCAGGCACTAATTAATCAAGTTTAAGGATATTTTCTATATCTTTGAATTTTACTTTATTTTTGTTGAAAAATTACATCAACAACCATTTTGGTATAATTTGATTGGTGGA